CTGCACAAGCTCTGTCAGCTCCTCCTCTTTTGCCTGGTCTTTCGCAAGAGACAACTCCCACGGTACATGGGAAAGTCGGAAGTAGCGCCCGTCAAAGCAGAGGAGTCCGCCAACAATGGACCTCGTCTAATGCCTACTGTAAAAACTGAGGATGGCCAAGTTGCAAAAGCTGCTTTGGTTCAGCCGTCCAAGGAGGAGCCAGTTCATACACGTCCTTTAAGACTGGGAAGTGGAAATGCTGGTCAAGGCTATACAGCCGACGAGGTCTGCGCATTTGTTTTTGTTTTCATTTCCAGAAGCTCACGAGCTTTAACTGCAGGTGAAATATTTATTTCTCGTGTTGTTAGATCTATGCAAGAGAACAGCGCCGCTTGCTCATCCGTTCCCAAAGTTCCCCGCTGGAGCGAGCAACCCGAGCTTTAGACTACATTACATTGATGGACAGTTCTCGGTGGTCCCCGAGATTGTCGAAGCTTCTCTTGGCCCACACATGCAGGTACCCAAAACAAAAACACAAATGGTTGGTCTCTTACGAGCTCCTGGTTCTTTGCAGAATTTGCCTCGTCCTCGTGGAGCCGATGCTGCGGGACTCCTCATGCGTGAGCTGGAGCTCCATCCGCCCGCGGAAGAATGGAACAAGAGAATCATGTCCGGTGGACCTTGGTCCGAGAGACTGGAAAGCCTGGACAAGCACGAGAGGCCCATGGATTTGTGGCCTCGAAAGCGGAGGTTTGCGGAGCGAGACGCTGCTTGCGGTGTGGAAACCGCGGTTGGCTTGGGAAGCTACACAGGTTTCATGGGCTCCAGGCGGGACGTGATAACTTCGTCGTGGAAGACCGTCCTACACGCAGTCTGGCACAAGGTATTCAAACATGGTCTTTTCTTCGTTTTCGTTTTCATCACTCTCTTTCTCTTTGTATTCCAGTGCATGAGGTGTGGACGGCAAACTGCATCTCTTGTCCCGTGGTCCCCGAATTCACAGGCCAGTGCTGTGCCTTCAAATTCTCGCGAGGCATGGTGGACTGGAAGATGGGCGTATTCGTGTCCGATGTGTGGTGGTCACTGGGTCCGAGTGGTATGACACAGGTACACACTACACCTTTTATTTTTCCCACCATGAATCGCCCGAGCTTCTCTTCTTTTAGCAGGATCGATCCATCCCATGACCACGGGGCGAGGTCTAAACCAAGAACTCCCCAGGAACAATCCGTGGTCCTCCCCAATCCGGAAGATGGCTTCCGCTGGATGCTCCCGGGGAGCCCATCTGCGAACTTGTAGGGGCAATCCCAGGAGTTGTAAAGTAGCGACGACTTCTCAGTTGGGATGAATCGTGAAGACCATGCGACGAGGGGAACTCGCAGTCTCGTTGATCATAGCATTCACGTGTTGGTCATCCGCCCAATAAACAAGAATAAAGAAACAGGATTAATATAAAAGTTTAAGCTTTTGAACAGTTGATCTAACGCTGAAAGGAAGATTAAAGTTGAGTGAGATTGTGGTTGTTATTATGTCACAAAAATTAACAGAAGAATTCAATATCACATTGGATAAAATTTGTCATGTTAAGGATTTTAAATTTACAAGACACGCCTGTGAATTAAAAGAAACTTTCACTATATTACCACTTGTTTCAAATAACAATATAATGTTAGGGAGAATCAATGACTACGAAATCAAAATCCTAATAGATAATGGTTGTGGAACATTAGCTATATCACTTGATCTTGTCAAGAAACTTGGACTCCCTATAGTTCACAGTCACAAGTATTTTGGAATGAGGCCACTTGCAGCTGATCAATTGGACAAAGGTTCTGGTAACTTATAACTTGGGAAAGTTTTTTGAGAGAAGAACATTTGGTGTTCTTAAAGACTCCTCTGATAGTATATTTCTTGGGAAAGATTGGCTTCACAAGCACTCAGCAGTTATTGACTTTAGAGATCACAATGTTACTTTTAGAGTAAAGATAAATTCAAGGAAAAGATGAATAGCTTGTGTTGGTGCTCCAACACTATAGAAGATCAAGCTGCAGTAAAAATTTCTGATCCTTTTACCTGGAGAATGCCATCTTTTGCAGTCCTCCTGCAATGGTTTAGGTTGAGATATAATAAAATAATGTGATCTTTTGTACATATTGTTCACAGGGCTTCCATCTTTGCATAGAGAGACTGATCTTGGACGCCATGGTGGCGAGTCCATGCACAGCCAGGTCGAGTTGATCTGCCATCAGCAATCGAATTCAACCGCCCGTTTCAAAATTACAAGATTTAACGGCTCATGCCAAGTCAAGCGTAGTCAAACTTCTTCGAAGCTCACGGAAGAAAAGTAGCTACGTGACTACTTCCTCGAAATTGTTGATCTCGAGTTTTTCTCTTTTCTCATTTTTGTTCTTTCTCTTCTTTCCTTAACCAGTATTGTCTTTGTTAGAAAAACGGTCATTAAATCAAAGGGATTGATCGGAGCATTCTGATAAATGTTGCCCATGACACGGCGTCGTCCTCGCAAAGTGAACTTTCGTGCTCCATCAAGATCTCTGCACAACGATCGTCGAGTCTGGATTGATCCTTTTGTTGTGAGAATCATGATCTTGTTCCATCCTATTGAGCTTCTTTGCTTCGAGAAAATCCACGACGGTGACAATGGCATTTAAGCTCCTCCCGATTGCTGTTTTCGTGGATTTTGCCACGTGTAGCATGCGAGGGTTTAGGGCTTACCCGGGAATCTCTCGCGCATCCGGCGGTGTTCTTTTGCTGGTCTTCCAGGTTACATCTTGTTTCATCACCAGAAGCTATATAGCTTGGAATTGCCGCTGGTATGTGTTTTCCCTCACACACACACAAGTGCTTATGTTACTTTGCCTGAATTGGCTACATGTGCTCTTACGCATTTAACTGAATGCTTTTTCTTCCAGAACTTGGAGAGCATATATCCGGCTTTTGTGCTTAACACCGCAGGAACAAGAGCGGAGAGGCTTCGACGTCTCCCATCTCAAGGCACTTTAAGAAGCAGTTTGGCGCGTCTCAACACATTCGGCTGTGTGAGGATCAAGGACCTCTTGGGCGTCATGTAAGACATCCTTCACGTATGTCACATCCAGATGGAGTTCCTATGAGTATAGTCAAGGCCAGGTTCTACAGCAGGTTCAAGTTTAGCTGTGACATGGATGAAGTTTATGAGATGACACAACAATATCAATGGAGCAGAGGGCGGCAAGAAGAAGGAAACGAATGACCGCTAGCGAAATCTATCTACACGAGTGTAAGAAGTGTGTTGCCATTTTATTTTAGTTTTTGATTTGATAGTGCTATGTTTTTGCCCATCCTCCTCGCGGGACAGCTCCTCCCGTGAGTTTCCTCCACCATCCTTCTGCGAGCAAGGACTCCAAGATCCGCGAAGGCGGCTATGGCGTCATGGTGACCCCAATGCGGATGGATGGATTCTTGACCGCGACGACGCTGCTGCTCTCGCTCGGAGTGCCCAGATCTTGTCTAAACCCCTGATACTGGCTCGCCTGGATCCACGAGCGGATGGATGATCGAATCGGTCGTTTTTCTTTATCTCGCACTGGCCACACAGGCGGACAAAGAGTTTCAAGAGTGGAAGTGGAAGCAATATGAGCTTGCTCAAGGCTACTGCGCAGAGAGCTGCGACATAGGTACGGCGATCATCGCCTCGGGCGCGCTCAACGATCGCCTCGAGATTTCCAAGCTCGCCTTCCAGAGGATGCCGCAGACGAACCTCGTCGCGAGGATCGCGATGCTTCGGCCTATTCCCTCCATATATGTACTGTAAATTTTTATTATTATTATTATATCTCCATAAACTTGAAAAGGAATCCCCCGAGAATCCAAAACTATTTTGTCAAGAGGGAAGTAAAAAGATGATACAATATGACGTGTATGTCTCCACCAGGACAGAGATAACAAGAGCGTAGTCTCAAGCACTTGTTCCTGCGGTATAAAGCAAGTGTCCAAAAGCCTTCCAAGGAGAAAAGATCAAAGCAAAAGCTTACCGGCTTTGTGATTGAAAACTGGTTCATGATATCCATGCATTGTCGGTCTTGTCCTCTTTCCGTTGTCATTGGCGATTAAGATCCTGACCGCAAAAGCGGGATATATGTTCTCCAAGTTCTGGAAGAAAAAGCATTCAGTTAAATGCGTAAGAGCACCAAATACTGAGTAGACAATGAGCAACATATCGACAATTCAGGTAAAGTAACATAAGCACTTGTATATGTGAGGAAAAACACATATCAGCGGCAAGTTTGTATGAGATTCCAAGCTCTATAGCTGCAAAACCAGGGATCCAATGCAGAACCTCTGGTGATGAGACAAGATGCTCTCGAAGTATGACGTGGTGCTGACAGGCACACGACATTACCATGGAAAAATCAGCAAAGAGAAAAGACTGAACCACACCGCACCTGGGGATTAGAATGCGCCTAGGCCCTAAACCATCAACGAGATTCTCACAACAAAAAACTGATCAATCCAGACTCGACGATCGTTGTGCAGAGATCTTGATGGAGCACAAAAGTTCTTTGCGAGGACGACACCATGTCATGAGCAATACTTATCAACTCATTTGCGCAGCATGGCTACACTATTCGAGCCATTTATAGCATGTCATACTGTGATCAATCTCTTTGATTCAATGACCGTTTTTCTAACAAAGACAATACTCGACAAGGAAATAAGAGAAAGAAGAAAAACGAGAAAAGCTCGAGATCAACAATTTCGGGGAGGAATTGGAATATGACAAGTGAGGAGAAGTAGTCACTTAGCTATTTTTCTTCCGTGAGCTTCGCAGCTTATAAAGTCCTTAAGTCCTATCCTTTGTATGTAAGTTCTTCACTAAATTACCACTTTGTTCTATGTAAAGTTCTTCGTTATGTTTTTCTTCTGTGATCTTCACAAGATTTCTTGCAAGGTTTTTAAAGTTCTATAATGCTACATTCTGGCTCGTAAGAAATCCTGTTCTTGGAGCTCCTCCTTGGAGGACTCTTTTTGGTATGGTACCTAAGCATATGAAAACATGTAGGCCATCAAGAACAGAAGTTTGTAAGATAACTCACTGTGGAATCACCACTCGCAACACCACCTTTTCCATCGACATCTAATCCTGACCTGTTGCAATGGTTTTTAGAAATGATCTTGTTTACAAAGTGCTTACCTTGTCTGCAACGAACCTCCATCTGTTTCATAGATGACATCCTTGATAATTGGGTACGGCTTTCCACTCGGAGACAGTTGATAGCCAACCTGCATTTCACAACTCAATCTTTCCACTATAAGGTTTTCAAAGAGGACTAACCTCAGTCTTAAGATTGATACCATACATGCAAAACACATTTTCGATCGGCAGCCGCTCCCATGGAGTTAGTGGATTGAACAACGGATTATCCAAGTAGTATCTGAGAATTAGGAAGTAGTTTAGTAATCACACACTTCTTGAGCTGATAGAAAGCCAGTTTAGCTTGAGGATCAAATTCACCCATCTCCTTGAAGCTTGTGCCATCCGATATTTTTTGAGCTGAATAAAACCGCTGGATAGGAACTGTGTAATTTGCTAGAGCTGCAAGGGCTCCGTTTTCCAAAAACTCACCAGGATAGACCACCCCTGCCAAAGTGGACAAAAATTGGATAACGCATTAATAAGCCATTCGTTTGTTACCAGAACTTGGCATGTCCACCTCAAGCACGTCGACAGGCCAGTCTGGGGCAACTAAGCCTTTCGTTTTGGTCGTATTTCTTTGAGACAGTGGTTTGTCGTCAGAAAACGGCAACATCCACAAACCGGAACTGAAAGTTCTAAGCATGATTCGAGCTGCACCCTATCAAAACGATGTAAAAGCCAATGAGTTGCGAAGTCCCAACAGCTTTAACGAACCTCTGAAATTGGTAATCCAAACGTCACCCCAGAAAGAACGCCTTTCAGAGCATCTGGAGCTCCTAGAAATGGAGCACCTGCAAGAGATAGCATTGCTGGTAAGAAGGTTCACAATCCGCCAATCTCACCTAGAGCATGATACGTGAAAATGTGATCGTCGATCCAAGTGGTGTACAGTTTGGGCGGTACTTCTTGTTTCAACCATTCCAGAAAATATCTGAACACATTATTCCCAAGAGAATGCGCGAAAACGAGGGCCGTCACTCGTTTTCGCGCATACTCTTGGCCCCCCTCGCAGCTTCCGAAGCGTCTCGAAAGTTAGCCTGGAATTAGACATCAGAAAAACAAGAGGTGATTCTGTTTGAGAAGGCAAAACCTCAGCCTGTGGAAGTACAGATCTCGTTCGAGGAGAACTGGACCCGCCAATCTCGTAGGGTGCGTCAACGCCGAATTCTACACACCACGAAACCCACTCCTTCCATACAGCCTGATTAACAAAACGAATAGAGAAAAAAAAGCCAGCTTGGATACCTGTGAAATATCGGAAATTTTTTCAAACGAAACTCACCAGAGCTACTTGTTTATGCTGTTGTCTCAGCTCCTAGACCATGATCCTCAAAGGTTTGAAACCCAACTTCCTTTCCCGATCCTGCTGGTGCAAAGCTCTGTTCGAGATCGCAGCTGTCAGTGCTCAAATGGAAGCATTCCTGAAAGCTCCTGAAAAAAAAAATTAAAAAATCCAGTGAGCTGAAATCGAGGGGCGAGAAGGGACAATACCATGATCTCGTGCAGCCATTTATCAATCCCTGAGTGCCAGAGATCTGTTGCAGATGTCATTCTAGGACCTTGCAAAACGGAGTTCTTCTTTGTCATAGCATCAGAGTAGTAAAAAACGCAAAAGAAGCTATAGTCGAAGCTTCTCGACGGCTGAAACTTCCCACGACCAAAACACGGAAAGATTAGCAAAAACAGTCAAAATGAATCAAGCGGAAGCTCACTGTTTGCCAAGTCATTCTTCCCGTGTTTAATTCTGGCGGAACTTGTTGAAGTGACACCTGACAGAAATTTCGTTAGAAGAAACTGCAAACTTTCCTCACACGATGCTCACTGGTTTGCATCCCCGCTACTTATTTGATGGGAGTGAGCCTCCTTCTCCTTCCCATGGTTGCACAGATGCGTGAGAATGATGGTGTAGAGCTTCGCGTTGGCTGGAACTTCCGCCTTCTTCATGTGTTCCAGGAGTGCCAGAGCCTGCCTGCCTCGTCTCGCCATCCTCGCAGTAGCCGCGGACGATGGTCGAGTACGTGACAGCATTCGCCTGGAACGAGCTCGGCTTGCTGTGGGCGATGAGCATCTGGTGCGCGCGCTTGTACTGCCGCTTGTTCACCAAGAACTCGAGAAGCCGGTTAAAGGCAAATGCCGTGTGCGTGTAGCCATGGCGGCCGTGGCACCAGTCGAAGAACTGGATCGTCGCCTCCACGTCCCTGGCGTGGTTGAGCACATCCACCACGATATCCACCACGATGTCCGTGCTGAGCTTGCCGCAGTAGTCGCGGAGCTTGTGCTCGCGCACCTCCTCCATCTCCGTCTCGAGGATGTCCAGGAGCTCCTGTGCCTCGGCCGAGATCGCCAGTCGCCTAAACCTCGCCACTGCCGGAGGGCTTGTCCGCGATCCCTGGCTTGAAGGAGAGCTCCTCCAGCTTGATCTTTCCTGCTCCTCGATCGCCGCTGCCGCGCCCTGGCACTGGATTATGATCGATTCCCGCCATGGGGCTTGATTGAGCCGCATTCCCATCGTCGATTCGCTGCCGCAAGGCCACGCTGGAATCGATCGTCCGGGAGAAGGAACAACTCACCGATTGGCGCAGCGCGATGCCGGCTCGTCGCCACACGGCAGCCTCCATGGATCGCTAAACCCTAAATTTCAATTGCAAGAACAAAGAATTTTGGATTGCGCCATCGCCGCCATGGCCATGAAACAAGCTAGAGAATTATGCATGCATTCGACTTGATCGGCTGCAGCGGCTTTGGCTCCGGCTCTGGATCGTGCTGCTGCTGCTGCTGCTGCTGCTGAGGAGGAGGAGGAGGAGGATCATCCTTCTGGAAGAAGAAAACAAGAAGCAATGATTCAACGCAAAGAAAGTGAAATTCTTCTACCGGCTTGGGGGATCCCCCGGTCAGCGACTGCCGCTTCTCTTTGGTGAAGCTGATCTGCCGTGGACCGTCCTTCGGCGTTCTCCTCTTGCCCTCTTTCTTGTTCTCCTTCTCCACCATCGCGCTCCTCTCGTTGCTTTCCCGCCCAGCCAGGGAAAAAAAAGAATATACCTTTTTTTTTTCAAACCTAACCAAATGCTTTATTTTGACCTTAATCTGGATAAAAGTAAACTCTAGTCTAATAAGATCACTACGTCCCGCCTGGAGCCCATGAAACCTGCGTAGCTTCCCAAGCCAACCGCGGTTTCCACACCGCAAGCAGCGTCTCGCTCTGCAAACCTCCGCTTTCGAGGCCACAAATCCATGGGCCTTTCGTGCTTGTCCAGGCTTTCCAGTCTCTCGGACCAAGGTCCACCGGACATGATTCTCTTGTTCCATTCTTCCGCGATGAGGAACGGATGAGCAAGCGGCGCTGTTCTCTTGCATAGATCTAACAACACGAGAAATAAATATTTCACCTGCAGTTAAAGCTGGTGAGCTTCTGGAAATGAAAACAAAAAGAAATGCGCAGACCTCGTCGGCTGTATAGCCTTGACCAGTATTTCCACTTCCCAGTCTCAAAGGACGTGTTCCTCCTTGGTTTCCTGAATAAGAATTCGGCTGAGAAGACATCAAAAAACTGTCGCCATACCTGGTTGGTGGTGTTGTCGTTGGAGGTGCTGCTGGTGTCGGAACTGGTGCTGCTGCTGCTGCTGCTGCTGGCGCTGGAGGCTGAGATCCTGCGGGAGGACCGTTTGAGCTTGGTGCTTTGACAGCAGCAAGAGTTCGGCAAAAGCTTGCGTATCTCCACAATCGGGTCAAAAAGTGAGACGCTAGATCCAAAATCACGTCGACGTAAGACTGCACGAGAGCGTTTCAATGACAGTGTTGTTGCAAGTGTCGAAACGAACCTGAATTTGATGAACGAGAGCTGGATCAACAAGCATGGCTTCACCGCCAAGACCTGTCGGAGTTTCGCTGGGTGCTTGGTCGAGAATAAGCGTCGAAGGATTAACGAGTGCTGCTTCTATGCCTTTGCCTAGGACTTCCAAGAAAAATCTGGCCTGATCAAGGACAAGTACTCTTACTTCAGCAGCATCTGCCCCCTCTAACATCCTACACTTAATGTGATCCAGACCGTAATGCTGACGATGACCTGCATTTGGCAAAGAATGAATCTAGAACCGCTGCAATTGCCCCTAGAGAAACTGACAAACATAAAAGGCATGAATTAGCACGCGCGGGAGATGATAGAGACATGAAAAACTACCTAGGCCTTCGTCAGCAGCGCTTTGAGAGTACGCAATAGCGTCCCACCAATCAAGTTGAGTTACCAAGCTCCACCAAAATCTGTTTCATCAAATGGTTGAGCATCTACTTCACCCAAAGAAGGAACTTACCTGTCGGCTATCTGGCGTTCCAGGGGCGCAGTTGTAGGCCCAGATGATGAAAGGGATCGAACACGAACAATCTTCAAGAAGCTGGTGTCGGAGTCTGTGTCATGCCAGGCACATGAGAGGCAGCAACCGGAAGCAGATAGAGCTGGAGATGCAACCAAAAGCCCGACTTGGACGCAGAAGTTCTCGACCGGAACCAGCCCAGGGCCAGAGAACAAGTGAACTTCGCCACCTAAGAGTGCCACCGCAACTTCTCCCCCGTGACCGCTGAAGCGAACTTTTGCGATACACTTGACGACGGGTAAAGGCTCTGTTTCCTGTTCCTCGGCCGCAGCGTCACCTGTATCCATGCTGCTCGAAGCGTCCCGCCCTCGTTTATTATACGACATGGCCAGCTTTGTCTGAGGAAAGCTCTTGTTCACGACTGTTTTCCATGTTGTAGCCATAGGATGCGACATAGCACCGTAATTCGCAGCTCCTGCCTCAAAAACAGAGTGTATGGCCACTTGTTGCCGTGAACTTTCCCACCTTTGAAACTTCCATCCGGTCATAGAAGGCCCTCCATCAGGATGTTTTGGGGACATATATTGTCCTGTAGAGACAGAGAGAAAAAGAATGAGCAAAGAACGATAATATTGACGACCAAACCTTCAACTATCACAACAAGAAGCGCCGTCCCTTGCTTTTCCGGATCGAATGCCACTGCTGCCACTCCGGTTCCCCAAGCTGCTACATTCGATCCAGTGGACGCCTCCGGACTCACGTAGGCGGACAAGTTTGAAATTGGCGAGCACTGCAGCAAAGGACCTTCCTTGTCAGGAAGGTCCTTCTCGCGAAGCTCCTGCCAACTGAGAAGATACGCTGCCAACGATGCCATCCCCGGCCATGAAGGAGCAGTAAATGGTAGAGGCGACGCACCAAGCTTCATCAGCTGCTGACCATTAAATACGCCTGGAGTGATCTCCCAGATGACAATTGTAGAAGGATTACCGATAGGCACTCCTGCAACTATCAAGGAGCCAGCGTCGTTGACGATAACATCTGCAGCATAGATTCCACTCGGCCCAGCTCCTAAAACACCTCTGCTTGACGAGTACCAAACTGGCGTAGAGGAGTCTTTGAGAGGCGACCGCCGCCATCGGAGTTGCACCACACCCGACGATAAAACGATGCAAGCACAAAGAAAATTCGGCCATTTAGCTGCAAGTTAGCGAAGGTTAGCGCGAGACGGACGAACTTTCGAATGTAAACTTTGATCACCAGAGATTGTAGCTTGACGTGCTAGGAATCTTTCCTCAAACAGTGGTGAAGTTCCGTCCATTGGTACTGAAAACATAGTTTAAAGCTAAGCCGAGAAAGGATAACTCTGAGCTCACCGAATACTGTGGAGTGATCCATTTCGTGACAACTGCTTGATCTTGCCTCCATTCGTGCTCACAATTCCAGCAATTAAATGCCCGTGCCACATTCAAGGGGCCCTGAGGAACAATGTATAAACAGAAGGAAAGAAAGAGAAAAAAAGACATACTTTGGATGGTTACGAGAATTCACCACTAAAAGCGCACGCTCGCAGCTGGGAGGAGACCACTCGATGAAGGCGATGGAATCACAAGGAGTGTCTAGAGCACAGCACAAGAGAAAAAAAAAGAGAGAAAAAGTAGATTCTTGGAAGAATAAAATTCACTCACCAGCAACCACGTTGAAGATTGCGTGCTCTGTGGGCCTCTCAGGATCGACGAGATGGACTGGAATCCAGAACGTAGGCTTCTGCCGAGAACTAGGAAACCAGAATTTTCATCTCGAGAGAGAAACCATCCATACCCTGGATCTCTCGCACAAGTCTCCGTGGCGCAGGCGATTATGTTCGTTTTCCCACACCAAGCGGCGCCAATGCTGCGAAATTTCAAGCGTCCATCGCGTGTCAGCAATCGCATTCCCTGCCACTGATCGCACTGTTCTTGCCTGAAAGATTTGAAATCCCTCCGCCGCTGGAGGATTGTGCTGCTCTCGTCATCGCCATCGGCTGCAGCTGGATTCTCCTCCTCGCCATCGCTGCCCTTGTCGCCAGTGGCTGGAGGAGCCGCTGCCGGGGCAGCATCCATTTAGCTCCTCCGCCGGCGCCACCGAGGCGCAGGGATGCGCGAGAGATTCCCGGGGAATGCGCCTAAGCCCTAAAACCCCGCCAGTTACACGTGGCAAAATCCAAAACACCCATGACGACATGTATGGGAAATCCATGCGCGGGACCAAAACGGGAAACGAGGCTTGTTTTTGATCGAATTCCGTGGTTTGCTTCAATGCCATTGTCACCGTGATCAGCGATGCTTGAATGATCAGTGACTGTGTAGTGGAATGTGATTATTTCGGCATATGAAGATAGCAAAGAAGCTATTCGATAGGATGGAACGAGATTCTCACTGATCAATCCAGACTCGACGATCGTTATGCAGAGATCTTGATGGAGCACGAAACTTCTTTGCGAGGACGACACCATGTCATGAGCAACACTTCTCAACTCATTTGCGCAGCATGGCTACACTATTCTAGCAAAAGAAGCATTTACAAGGATGTGATCATTCAATGACCGTTTTTCTAACAGAGACAATACTCGACAAGGAAAGAAGAGAAAGAACGAAAACGAGAAAAGAGAAAAGATCGAGATCAACAATTTCGGGGAGGAATTGGAATAGGATGTAGGTATTTTTCTTCCGTGAGCTTCGCATCTCAGTAAGTTCTTCACTAAATTACCACTTTGTTCTATGTAAAGTTCTTCGCTATGTTTTTCTTCTGTGATCTTCACAAGATTTCTTGCAAGGTTTTTAAAGTTCTATAATGCTACATTCTCGCTCGTAAGAAATCCTGTTCTTGGAGCTCCTCCTTGGAGGACTCTTTTTTGTCATAGAAAATTCCATCTCCTTCTTGGCGTTGGATCTCAAGTAGCTCTCCTGGCTCACCAGCGAGTAGTGAGATGAGGAGGAGCTCTTGTTCCTCAGAGCCCACTGCCTCAGCCTGTAGCAATCGTTCCAGCAATCGAGCTCTACCTTCGCGGAAGTTCCAGCCAATGCGAAGCTCTACAACATCATTCTCACGCGGCTGTGCAAGCATGGGAAGGAGAAGGAGGCTCACTCCCATTAAATAAGTAGCCGGGATGCAAACCAGTGAGCATCGTGTGAGGAAAGTTTGCAGTTTCTTCTAACGAGTATTTCTGTCAGGTGTCACTTCAACAAGTTCCGCCAGAATTAAACACGGGAAGAATGACTTGGCAAACAGTGAGCTTCCGCTTGATTCATTTTGACTGTTTTTGCTAATCTTTCCGTGTTTTGGTCGTGGGAAGTTTCAGCCGTCGAGAAGCTTCGACTATAGCTTCTTTTGCGTTTTTTACTACTCTGATGCTATGACAAAGAAGAACTCCGTTTTGCAAGGTCCTAGAATGACATCTGCAACAGATCTCTGGCACTCAAGGATTGATAAATGGCTGCACGAGATCATGGTAATGTCCCTTCTCGCACCTCGATTTCAGCTCACTGGATTTTTTAATTTTTTTTTTCAGGAGCTTTCAGGAATGCTTCCATTTGAGCACTGACAGCTGCGATCTCGAACAGAGCTTTGCACCAGCAGGATCGGGAAAGGAAGTTGGGTTTCAAACCTTTGAGGATCATGGTCTAGGAGCTGAGACAACAGCATAAACAAGTAGCTCTGGTGAGTTTCGTTTGAAAAAATTTCCGATATTTCACAGGTATCCAAGTTGGCTTTTTTTTCTCTATTCGTTTTGTTAATCAGGCTGTATGGAAGGAGTGGGTTTCGTGGTGTGTAGAGTTCGGCGTTGACGCACCCTACGAGATTGGCGGGTCCAGTTCTCCTCGAACGAGATCTGTACTTCCACAGGCTGAGGTTTTGCCTTCTCAAACAAAATCACCTCTTGTTTTTCTGATCTCTAATTCCAGGCTAACTTTCGAGACGCTTCGGAAGCTGCGAGGGGGGCCAAGAGTATGCGCGAAAACGAGTGACGGCCCTCGTTTTCACGCATTCTCTTGGGAATAATGTGTTCAGATATTTTCTGGAATGGTTGAAACAAGAAGTACCGCCCAAACTGTACACCACTTGGATCGACGATCACATTTTCACGTATCATGCTCTAGGTGAGATTGGCGGATTGTGAACTTTCTTAGCAGCAATGCTATCTCTTGCAGGTGCTCCTTTTCTAGGAGCTCCAGATGCTCTGAAAGGCGTTCTTTCTGGGGTGACGTTTGGATTAACCAATTTCAGAGGTTCGTTAAAGCTGTTGGGACTTCGCAACGTCATTGACTTTTACTTCGTTTTGATAGGGTGCAGCTCGAATCATGCTTAGAACTTTCAGTTCCGGTTTGTGGATGTTGCCGTTTTCTGACGACAAATCACTGTCTCAAAGGAATACGACCAAAACGAAAGGCTTAGTTGCTCCAGACTTCGCTGAGCTTCTCTGGCTCACCAGCGAGTAGTGAGACGAGGAGGAGCTCTTGTTCCTCAGAGCTCGCTGCCTCAGCTTGTAGTAATCGTCCCAACAATCGAGCTCCACCCTTGTCTTGCGTTCTATCATCATCACCCCGCGACAGCCGAGCTTGCTGGTCTCCGTGATCCCAACTCCCTCCCTCTCGCCACAACTTGTGTAGTCCTAAGCTCACTACGTGTTTCCTGGCTTGGAGGATCATAGCAGCGAGGAGGTATAAAGGTACCACCGCGACTCCGCCGAGAACAAGTGGACAAACGTCACGGCCCCCGGGGCTCAAGCCGTTTGCCAGCATCTCCCAGAAGAGCTCCACGGCTTTCTAGATCGTTGCGCACATATCCAGCGATCATCGCAGTCCACGTGACTTCGTCCTTGAAAACCATGTCCCAGAACAACCTCTCGGCAGTTTCCAGGCCTCCGTAGCTGGCGTACACGTCGAGCAATGCGGTCGTGAGCACTGCATCGTCTTCCAGGCCACCGCTCTCCAGAAGTTCCTGGTAGAGGAGCTTGCCTTGCACTGGTGCAGGAATGATCGAGCAGGCAGTGAGAGCACTCGATCTGTGTGCAGCAGGGCGAACACTGGAGGCGGCTGCGAAGGATTGCCGCGAATTTGTGCTAGATTATTCTCCTGTACGCACCCTTTGAGAAGATACACAGAGGCTCTCGACACTGATGTGTTGACATCCACGGTTCGCGAGAGATCTCCATACCTTCGCTTCCATCCAGGGCTCCAAGAACTTGGCATTCACAGATGCTGCTGCCGTGTGTCGAATCTGCTGCAAACTCATCTAGCAGGATCTATGTATCTTATGACCAAGGAGCAAGCTCTAAACCCCTTGTAAAGTAGCGACAACTTCTCAGTGAATCCAGGTGCCAGGAATTGCTACATTGACCATGTGACGAGGAGAATAGCTTTGTAGTCAACCCGATCCAGGAGGTCGTACGTTGACCACGGCTAAATAAGGATATTCTTAAAGGGATTTCTTTTAAATAGGATCAATATAAAAGGGTTTATTCTGCAAAACATTTCTAGGGTTACATGGCAATAGCTTTTGGACAGTTGGTTGGAAAACTTGAGGCTGAAAGGAAGATTGAAGTTATGTGGGATGTTGGTTGTTACTGTAATGCTATCTCACGAAAATTAGTGGAAGAACTCAATATCACAGTGGATATAAATTGGCAAGTTAAGGATTTTAAATTTACAATACAGGGTTGTGAATTCAAAGAAACTTTCACTGCATTACCACTTGTTTCACATAGCAGCGATATAATGCTGGGTTCACCATGGATACATCAACATTGCCTACAATTAAATTGCAATGATAGTAAAAGTACAATAACATTTGAGATAGATGGTATTGTATATTGTCTTACTGGTGACAATAACTTATCTCGGTCAAAAAGGTTTAGAAGGATAAATCAACATATATGTAATATGTTTTATGATCTGTATTACCCTGGCAGAATCAATGACTACGAAATCAAAATCGTAATAGATAATGGTTGTGACGCATCAGCTATATCACTTGATCTTGTCAAGAAACTTGGACTCCCTACAGTTCACAGTCACAAGTATTTTGGAATCAGGCCAATTGCAGCTGATCAATTGGAGGAAGGTTATGGAGTTGAGAATTTAGCTTATAACTTGGGAAAGTTTTTTGAAAGAAGAACATTTGATGTGCTTAAAGACTCCTCTGATAGTATATTTCTTGGGAAAGATTGGCTTGACAAGCACTCAGCAATCATTGACTTTAGAAATCACAATGTTACTTTTAAATGCAGTGAATCAGGTTTGTGGTACAGATTTCAATATCCTCATGGTATTTATGAAGTGAGTAAAGATAAATTCAAGGAAGAGATGAATAGCTTGTGTTGGTGCTCCAACACTATAGAAGATCAAGCTGCAGTAAAACTTTCTAATCCTTATACCTGGAGAATGCCATCTTTTGGAGTCCTCCTGCAATGGTTTAGGTTGAGATGACCAAGGATGACAGACAGATAAACCCTATAATAAAAATAATGTGATCTTTTGGACAATATATAAGTCTATAGATTTGCTTAGAGAGAGTGATCTTGGACGCCAGCCAAGTCAGGTTGATCTGCCATCAGCAATGGAATCCAACCGCCCGTTTCTACGGCTCAGGTCAAGTCAAGCGTAGTCAAACTTCTTCAAAGCTCAAGGAAGAAATATAGCTACGTGACACCTGTCATATTCCAATTCCTCCCAGAAATTGTTGATCTTGAGCTTTTCGCTTTTTTCGTTTGTTCTTTGTTGAGTAATGTCTTTGTTAAAAAAACGGTCATTGAATAAAAAAGATTGATCGGAGCATCGTCCTTGCAAAGTGAACTTTCGTGCTCCATCAAGATCTCTGCATCAAAATCAAGAGATGCAGTTTACACCTCATGCACTGGAATACAAAGAGAAAGAGAGTGATGAAAACGAAAACGAAGAAAAGACCATGTTTGAATACCTTGTGTAGGACGGTCTTCCACGACGAAGTTATCACGTCCCCCCTGGAGCCCATGAAACCTGTGTAGCTTCCCAAGCCAACCGCGGTTTCCACACCGCAAGCAGCGTCTCGCTCCGCAAACCTCCGCTTTCGAGGCCACTAATCCATGGGCCTTCCGTGCTTGTCCAGGCTTTCACCGGACATGATTCTCTTGTTCCATTCTTCGTCTCGGCTCACACCCAAGCCGGGGACTGGAGATGACTCTGTCGCTCTTCGCGGGAATGCAGCTGGATGGCGTCACTGCACACAGATGGAGTGCCTGCTCGAGCATTCCAGCTCCAGTGCAAGGCAAGCTCCTCTACCAGGAACTTCTAAAGAGTGGTGGTCTGGAAGACGATGCAGTGCTCACGACCGCACTGGTCGACATGTATGCCAGCTGCGGAGGCCTGGAAACCGCCGACAGGGACATGGTTTTCAAGGGCGACGTCTCGTGGACTGCGATGATCGCTGGATATGTGCGCAAAGAAAGCCGTGGAGCTCTTCTGGGAGGTGCTGGCACACGGCATGATCCCCGGGGCCGTGACGTTTCTCCACTTGTTCTCGGCAGCTTCATGGAGGAGTCGCGGTCGTACCTTTACACGATGCTTGAGGACTACAAGCTGGTGCCGGAGCTGGATCACCAGGTCTGTGATTGATCGGCTTGCTGGGACGGCTCGACAGGGCCGATGAGCTGCTCCAAACCGGGCCTGGAGGACGCTGCTTTCGGCTTGCAAGACGCACACAACAAACAAGGATCGAGCGGACCAAGCGGCAAAGAAGAATAACAGCGAGCTCGATCCGGGATGTGCTCCCATCCTCTCCAACTTAAACGCCGATGCTGGGGAATGCAAAGGCGGAAGAAGCAACAGCTGCAGGGCCAGCTCCTCGTTGCTATGATCCTCCAAGCCAGGAAACACGTAGTGAGCTTAGGACTACACAAGTTGTGGCGAGAGGGAGGGAGTTGGGATCACGGAGACCAGCAAGCTCGGCTGTCGCGGGGTGATGATGATAGAACGCAAGACAAGGGTGGAGCTCGATTGTTGGGACGATTACTACAAGCTGAGGCAGCGAGCTCTGAGGAACAAGAGCTCCTCCTCGTCTCACTACTCGCTGGTGAGCCAGAGAAGCTCAGCGAAGTCTGGAGCAACTAAGCCTTTCGTTTTGGTCGTATTCCTTTGAGACAGTGATTTGTCGTCAGAAAACGGCAACATCCACAAACCGGAACTGAAAGTTCTAAGCATGATTCGAGCTGCACCCTATCAAAACGAAGTAAAAGTCAATGACGTTGCGAAGTCCCAACAGCTTTAACGAACCTCTGAAATTGGTTAATCCAAACGTCACCCCAGAAAGAACGCCTTTCAGAGCATCTGGAGCTCCTAGAAAAGGAGCACCTGCAAGAGATAGCATTGCTGCTAAGAAAGTTCACAATCCGCCAATCTCACCTAGAGCATGATACGTGAAAATGTGATCGTCGATCCAAGTGGTGTACAGTTTGGGCGGTACTTCTTGTTTCAACCATTCCAGAAAATATCTGAACACATTATTCCCAAGAGAATGCGTGAAAACGAGGGCCGTCACTCGTTTTCGCGCATACTCTTGGCCCCCCTCGCAGCTTCCGAAGCGTCTCGAAAGTTAGCCTGGAATTAGAGATCAGAAAAACAAGAGGTGATTTTGTTTGAGAAGGCAAAACCTCAGCCTGTGGAAGTACAGATCTCGTTCGAGGAGAACTGGACCCGCCAATCTCGTAGGGTGCGTCAACGCCGAACTCTACACACCACGAAACCCACTCCTTCCATACAGCCTGATTAACAAAACGAATAGAGAAAAAAAAGCCAACTTGGATACCTGTGAAATATCGGAAATTTTTTCAAACGAAACTCACCAGAGCTACTTGTTTATGCTGTTGTCTCAGCTCCTAGACCATGATCCTCAAAGGTTTGAAACCCAACTTCCTTTCCCGATCCTGCTGGTGCAAAGCTCTGTTCGAGATCGCAGCTGTCAGTGCTCAAATGGAAGCATTCCTGAAAGCTCCTGAAAAAAAAAATTAAAAAATCCAGTGAGCTGAAATCGAGGTGCGAGAAGGGACATTACCATGATCTCGTGCAGCCATTTATCAATCCTTGAGTGCCAGAGATCTGTTGCAGATGTCATTCTAGGACCTTGCAAAACGGAGTTCTTCTTTGTCATAGCATCAGAGTAGTAAAAAACGCAAAAGAAGCTATAGTCGAAGCTTCTCGACGGCTGAAACTTCCCACGACCAAAACACGGAAAGATTAGCAAAAACAGTCAAAATGAATCAAGCGGAAGCTCACTGTTTGCCAAGTCATTCTTCCCGTGTTTAATTCTGGCGGAACTTGTTGAAGTGACACCTGACAGAAATACTCGTTAGAAGAAACTGCAAACTTTCCTCACACGATGCTCACTGGTTTGCATCCCGGCTACTTATTTAATGGGAGTGAGCCTCCTTCTCCTTCCCATGCTTGCACAGCCGCGTGAGAATGATGTTGTAGAGCTTCGCATTGGCTGGAACTTCCGCGAAGGTAGAGCTCGATTGCTGGAACGATTGCTACAGGCTGAGGCAGTGGGCTCTGAGGAACAAGAGCTCCTCCTCATCTCACTACTCGCTGGTGAGCCAGGAGAGCTACTTGAGATCCAACGCCAAGAAGGAGATGGAATTTTCTATGACAAAAAAGAGTCCTCCAAGGAGGAGCTCCAAGAACAGGATTTCTTACGAGCGAGAATGTAGCATTATAGAACTTTAAAAACCTTGCAAGAAATCTTGTGAAGATCACAGAAGAAAAACATAGCGAAGAACTTTACATAGAACAAAGTGGTAATTTAGTGAAGAACTTACTGAGATGCGAAGCTCACGGAAGAAAAATACCTACATCCTATTCCAATTCCTCCCCGAAATTGTTGATCTCGATCTTTTCTCTTTTCTCGTTTTCGTTCTTTCTCTTCTTTCCTTGTCGAGTATTGTCTCTGTTAGAAAAACGGTCATTGAATGATCGCAGTATGACATCCTTGTAAATGCTTCTTTTGCTAGAATAGTGTAGCCATGCTGCGCAAATGAGTTGAGAAGTGTTGCTCATGACATGGTGTCGTCCTCGCAAAGAAGTTTCGTGCTCCATCAAGATCTCTGCATAACGATCGTCGAGTCTGGATTGATCAGTGAGAATCTCGTTCCATCCTATCGAATAGCTTCTTTGCTATCTTCATATGCCGAAATTATCACATTCCACTACACAGTCACTGATCATTCAAGCATCGCTGATCACGGTGACAATGGCATTGAAGCAAACCACGGAATTCGATCAAAAACAAGCCTCGTTTCCCGTTTTGGGTCCCGCGCATGGATTTCCCATACATGTCGTCATGGGTGTTTTGGATTTTGCCACGTGTAACTGGCGGGGTTTTAGGGCTTAGGCGCATTCCCCAGGAACCGCGCAGCTTTTCAAGCACCCAAGATACATGCATGGCGCAGCCACCAGGTATTGTTGCTCTCTTTCCTCAGCGACAATTTTTGAAATCGGCCGCTGAGTACAAGAAGAAGATCGAATTTGACGGTAAGTATCTCACGCTGACTGCTTGGTGCTGAGACATTTTTTTGCTTTCATATCGCAGGCGTGCTTCTCATTGAACCAAAGCCTCAGGAACCCACGAAGCATCAGTACGGGCTTGCTTTAAACTTAATTCACCTTACTTAATGTTTGTTTATGTAGATATGATTGGGATGCTGCAACGGCAATTGGATTCTTGCAAAAACATGGATTGAAGGGTAAGCTAGCTTGTGGTTTTCCCCATAGATCCATCTAACTCTATTCCTCCGGCGTGGACAACTTCGAATGCAACCACGCAACGACACAGGTAAGACAGCCGAAAGTTTATTGTTTGTACTGATACTCGTGGAATGCAGCTGCTGTCATGAACTGGAAGTTTCTCGAACCAATGGAGTTTTGGGAAAACGCTCAAACAGGTAGGTTTTTTCCGCTACTTCGTTTCACGCAGTACCTCAGAGATTTTCTTTCAGGATGGGATACCGACCTGCTCCTGATGGATATTGCAGAAACCACGCAAGTGATGCTTTGAGTGCTTCAGAATGTAAGTCACTCGAAAACTTGTTTCTTCGCCTGACCGTATCATCTTTTGTTTATCTTATCTTCGTGTAGGGAGGTCTTGCTCCTGGTGGGCTCAACTTCGATGCCAAACTGTGCATATGTTTAGAAACCATTCCTACCGATTCGTGCTCACTTGTGTGTTGTGTGTTGTGTTTCAGGAGAAGGGAAAGTACAGACATAGGCACGGGCAAGAATTTTCTTTCAGGAGGGTATTCTTCCAAGTATTGTGAATGCAAGCTTTGACTCTGCTTTGGGAGCTTCTATTGAGGGACACTAAAGCTTTCTACGATGTTTCCCTTACCTATTGTCCCCAGACTGGTGTGTTAGTCTGGGGAGCTTGGATTTGAAGAGCTGGAGCAGGAGGCCCTGAGAATGGAGGAGCCACTACCTGCGTGCTAGCTGAGATGGTGTTCTATAACTCATGAGATAGCTCCATCTTCACCAGCCCAGTCTCCAAAGCTATCCCGCTCCGGAGGAAGAGGTGATCGCGGAGGTGAGGCTGCTAGCGACAATGTGGACATGGATTTGCACTTGAGGAGCGTGGCGTAGGTCTGGCATACTTGCGACTGGAATTGGAAGTGGTGGGCAAGGAGAATGCACCTCATTTGTTACAATTGAGTACGTGGTTAACACAACGTCATATTTGGCTAACTCGTAGGGACACCTCTTCCTGTTACCTTGCCGCCGCTGTAACTTTTTCCTCGATCTCATGATACCACTGTCTCAAAACGCTTGTCGGGCGTACGACAAGAGTGCCACCCCTTCTATTTGGCTCCGGCTTCTGCATAAGCTCAGGATCTCAGGTTTAATCTCAGGTTTAATGGCTTGTGTTCCCGGATTGACGTCAAGGAGATCGTTCAACCAATATGACATACAAAAGGCTCACCTGGTCATCTGCTAGAAAGCCACCAGAACAATTTCCACGCTCCTCGCTCTTCACCATCCAAGCTAAAGCTATTCTCTACAAAGATCGCTTTAAACCCGTGAAACATAGAAGATTTAAAAGTATACCTCATTCCCTCATCTGGAGTGGCCTCTTCGTTTGTTTCAGGAGTGATCATTCTCTGTGGGAAAAGAAAATGTAAACATCCAAATAGCAGTCAATGCAAGTGTACCTCCAAGATCCGGCGAAGACATTTGTCTACGTGCACCGGTTGAGCAGCTTGTGTTTGTGCTCGTGTTGTGAACTGATTCTTCCTTCTTTGGAGTTGCTTGACTCAAAGGCTCCTTCTTTGGGCCTGCATGGACATACGAACCCGATGACGACGGCTGATCAAACCTTCTACCAGTTGGCAAAACTTCTTCCTTGTTTGGAGGAGCTGTCCAGCGGTAAGACGAAGTTGCTATGCTGGCTTGACCATTCCGGCGAACCACGGGCACCGGTTGAGCAGATTTGGAGTTGTGTTTGTGCTCGTGTTCTGAACTGGTTCTTCCTTCTTCTTTGGGCCTGCATGGACAGATGAACCCGACGAAGCCGGCTGATCAAACCTTCTGCCCATCAGCAAAACTTCTTCCAATCTTTGGAGCAACTCTCCAGCCGTAAGACGAAGTTGCTCCATTCCAGGCAGCTGTTTGAGCATAGCTCGCGGGAGGCTCTTCCTTCTTTACACCCGTACCACGCCATCCCGGTTCTTCCTTCACTGCGACTGTCTCCCGACGGCCTCGAGGTGTGAAGCTCAATGGCAGATTGCGCTTCTCACCTAGTATAGACGTCTCCCCATTACTCTCCTCATCACTGATATCAATGACTTCCGATCTAGCGCCCTTGCCACCACGACCGCTTACAGAAGTCGTTTCTCTAAAGCACGTTTCTCTCTTTCTAATTCCTGGAGCTGCAACAATTCCCATTCCCAGCCAAAAACGTCCCTCGTTCATATGCCGGGGACAAATCAAGGCGGCGAGCCTCAACGCAGCACGCTCCGCTGCATAAGCGTGGTTCATCTCAAATCCTGCAAGAAAAAAGAGATTTTTTTTCTCCTGCTAAGCGATCCTCAAGGTAAACAATGTCAAAACACTTCCCATACCGTTTTGAAGATCATCGTCCGAGGCAAGAGCAAAGTCGAGCCACGTCTCGGGATGAAAAGAGACGTTCCTCGCAAACGCGACAACCTCGTCAGTGAGCCCCGGGACCTCGTCTGGCTCGTCATCAAACAAGAACAAGCTCGACGCAAGCTTGGACACTCCATCCACGAGAGTCGCCGCCGAAATCCCCATCTTGGAAGACGACTTCACGCCACCACCACGACTGGTATCTTCTTCGTCATCAACAGGAGTAACCTGGCCGGCCGGTTTGTCGCTGGAGAGAACGTTGTCAATCAAAGGCTTGAGCAGCCCCGCGTCCTGGGAAGCTCCCTCCGGCTTGTCACTGCTCCGGGACTCATCCCCCCGGAAACCTTTCGCGAATCCTCCCTTGAGTTCCGCAAAGTCGCTTTGCATTCCACTCAGCTTCTCTTTCTCACCGGCATTCTCCACTCCTTGCTTTGCCTGATAATCATCTTGAGAAGTTTCCTCTTCTACCTTGGGAGAATTTTCTCTGCGTGACTTTGGCGGCGGCGCAAGAAAAGAACCTACCCCCCACAGCGATTGCGTGAGAGACTTCCGCAATTCAGCCAGATCCTCCCCCACGCTCTGCCCCGGCTCAAAAAGCTCCGGATCGTCCCAAAATTCTGCTCCACCCTCATCCTTCTCTTCCTTGTCCTTGTCCTTGAGAACCCCTGTCAAGGAGCGCGAAATCCACGACATTCCTCTCGCCCTTGCCGATCGATCGCGACATTCTACTCATCTGCTGCCAAGGCGTCCGTGGCAAAACTCTAGCCAACGGACGCAAGACACGTGGACTCAAACAAAAGCTTTGTCAGGAATGGGATTCGAACCCATGCCCTTGCGGACTATCGCCTTAGACCAACTCGGCAACCCCGCTAGGTCAAGAATGAGCAAAGGCACACAGAAATAGAGAATATTCGAAGCATCTAGGGCTAATGTGCCTTTATCATGTACGTCTAAGGAAGAAGTACAGAGTTTCACTCTTTGATCATATCTTGTCTCTGGATGGAACGAATTTTCAGTGTATTTTGAGTCCTTGCCTTGCTTTGTATCACTACCACATTATAGCTAGACACTGTTGACAGTAGAAGATGATGTCATCAAGTGGTTTATCATCCGCACAGCCCAGCACAATCCAAATGGTACCATCACTGCAAAAACCAAAGAATTAGTTCTAGCGATTATAATGAAAACTTACCTCAGTGTTGTCACAGAGAATCATTTTTCTCCCCTCGTCTCTCCCCTGGCAGCTACAATAAAGCTTGTCATTGATCTCGGGGTTCACTGGTAACCCGTCAACAACGATCTTGTTCTTCTAGTACTCTTTGAAGAGGAGATCCATAATGTGCTTTTGGAGTTCATAAAGATCCCACTCCATGAGAAAGTCATGCTTCGGCTCAACATTTGCAGACAACCAGCTCAACGGGAACGTCAAACGGAATTTGTCCCTGTTATCCTCAGAGCATACCTTCGGACTAAAATCAAGGTCTTTGCGCCTCTTCCCGGCTTCTTTCCAGAAGTAGCTAAGCTTGACATACAGAGCATTTGAGGTTCCCTTTGACTCGATTTTAATCTCGACCGCCAGACGGCACACAGCATATTCCCATCTCTTGATCTCTACTTTGAGTGTTTCCACATCTTCATTTTTGTACGCGACCTCGATAGCGCACCTTGGGTACTCTTCATCATCAATACTTGAGAAGGAAGCGTTTGGTTCTTTGTGAGATCCATTTGCTAGCTCGAAAGTGCCCTTAGTGTGAACCAATTTGTGGAACCTCGGCACATCCTTTGCTGGAAAGTGAGTCATGAAGAAGGTAGTGGATTGTTTTGCCACTTGTAAAACAAACCACGAAGCTGTCTCCTCATGCAAATTGGAAGGGTCACCAAAGAGATAAACTATCCCAAGCTCTCCTCCCTCGAGCTCGTAAAAGAATCCCAATCTCCAACAAGTCTCCATTGAAAGAGACTAGATCTCCCAAGAGCTATAGGACACAGTCTCTGCGACAACAAAGGGCCCATAGCCAACCCCTGACACACTTACTTGTAGGTACCTTGCAATTGCATGCCTGAATCCTTCATTTAGTCGCTTCAATTCCTATTTCACCTCCACTTTCTTGTCGTCTTCAAGCTTCAAGCCGTCGAGAAGCTGGACAATCTGCTTTTCTTCTACCTCTGAGCTTTTCCTCTTTTCTAGCACCCTTGCTACTACATCCGAAACGCACACACATGCCATTTCCCACCACGCAAGAACTACCCTAACCTTAATCTCTGATTACGACCCCTTACGGCTCTCATAGGAGGAGCCTGGCAAATATAATATGGGCCTATGCGAGAGCAGAGAATAGGCAATTGGCGAACTGGGGGGTGATCTTCTTGGGTGGTCAGGACGGATTCACCTTTTTGTACCCGTATCTAACATTAGGGGACGAGTGGAAGTTCCGACCCGTGCATGAATAGCTAAAGTACTCGCTGAAGAAGTAGATGGACAACTTCATCAACGGGGTGAAGAACAACACCAAAGGCTGGTACAAAATGCTACACTACACCAGCGATCAGGACTCGAATAGTTCAGTGGACGAAGAAGAAGAGGAGCCGGAGTGGATGCTCCAGGACTGTTCCAAGTCGCTCTGTGCTCCAGCAGGAAGACGGGGCCGATGTTGACCCCAAAAGGAGAGCCATGCCAGATCAGCCGGTAGGTGGTAACCCACCACCACAGTACAAAGGCAGTGTACATCGAGGAGTAACCGGCGATTATGGTGAGCCAGTACGGCCAGGGCCATACTCCGACTTTGGGACGACCTGGGTGGAATGCCTGACGCATCAAATGCCAAGGACGCAATACCATCAGGGTTCGCAAGGAAATAACCACCACGGCGGAGCGCGGCAGAGCAGTAGCAACACCAAGAACCACTCCACCTAGGTACCAGGTTTTTGCAACCGCACCTTCAGCATTGCGCATCGAAGAGCTTCATCAGGAGGCGGAGGTAGCATACAAATCACCAGCAGAAGAAATGCTGGAGGCTCAAGGGGAAGGCGCACCACCTCCTGTCAGGGAAGGAGTTCCACCCAGTCTGGCCACTACACGAAGAGCAGAGATAAGTCAAGGGGTACCCAAGGTAAACTTCCATCTCCACTCCTCAGTAGCGCCAACAACGTTCTGCTCTTCCATCGGGGGCCCTCTCCGGCGAACGCTCTCTGGAGCGCTTATGTCCTCCCTCCGGATGACGTTGCCCTTTGGGGCGATCAACCTCCATTGGTCGGCTTCCGTTGATGTGCTCCTGGATAGGCACCGGTGTGTTCCTCTCCAGTGCCGGTGTTCTCCCCATGTCCGGTGCTGTTGCTGCTGCTGCAGATTCCGCTACCGGGGCTGTCGCTGCTGCTAGTGCGGTTGCGGCAGTCGTCGTTGTTGGCGCTACTAAGGAGTGGCGGTGAAAGTTTATCTTGGGGGCGCTTACAGGTCGCTTCCCCCGGCTTATCTCCGCTCTTCGTGTAGTGGCCGGACTGGGTGGAACACCTTCCTCGGCTGGAGGTGGTGCGCCTCCCTCCACTTCCCCTGGAGCCTCCGGCGTTTCTTCTGCTGGTGATCCTCCTGCTGCCTCCGCCTCCTGATGAAGCTCTTCGATGCGCACTGCTGAAGGTGCGGTGGCAAGAACTTGGTACCCGGGTGGAGTGGTTCTTGGTGTTGCTACCGCTCTGCCGCGCTCCGCCGTGGTGGTTATCTCTTTGCGAAACCTGATGGTATTTGTAGGCCGTGGTTGTGTCCCTGGCATTTCTCCTTCTTGATGCGTCAGCTGACGCTGGCGTTCCGCCCGGGTCGTCCCAAAGTCGGAGTATACTGGCTGCCCATAACCGCCAACTTCGGTTACTCCTCGATGGGTAATTCGTGACGCCGCCTCCATACTGTGGTGGTGGGTTACCATCTACCGGCTGATCTGGCATACCTCTGTTCTTCAACTCCCCAAGGGTAGTCATGACTTTGTTATGGCATTCCTCGCTCAACTACTGCAGTCCCTGTACATGGTCCTCCACTCGTCGCATCCTATCCTCCATAGCCTCTAGCCGTCCTTCGAGGTGCTGGGTTAGTTCGTCTTCTATGACGTACTGAGTGAGTGTCTGTAGTACATCCCGGATGGGTCTTCTTCGTGAGGATCCTCCACTGTGCAGTCGTCCTTCTGCTCTTCCATCGGGGGCCCTCTTCGGCGAACGCTCTCTGGAGCGCTTATGTCCTCCCTCCGGATGACGTCGCCCGTTGGGGCGATCAACCTCCATTGGTCGGCTTCCGTTGATGTGCTTCTGGATAGGCACCGGTGTGTTCCTCTCCAATGCCAGTGTTCTCCCCATGTCCGGTGCTACTGCTGTTGCTGCAGATTCCGCTACCGGGGCTGTCGCTGCTGCTAGTGCAGTTGCGGCAGTCGTCATTGTTGGCGCTACTGAGGAGTGGTGGTGAAAGTTTATCTTGGGGGCGCTTACAGGTCGCTTCCCCCGGCTTATCTCCGCTCTTCGTGTAGTGGTCGGACTGGGTGGAACACCTTCCTCGGCTGGAGGTGTTGCGCCTTCCTCCACTTCCCCTAGAGCCTCCGGCGTTTCTTCTGCTGGTGATCCTCTTGCTGCCTCCGCCTCCTGATGAAGCTCTTCGATGCGCACTGCTGAACGTGCGGTGGCAAGAACCTGGTACCCAGGTGGAGTGGTTCTTGGTGTTGCTACCGCTCTACCGCGTTCCGCTGTGGTGGTTATCTCCTTGCGAACCCTGATGGTATTTGTAGGCCGTGGTTGCATCCCTGGCATTTCTCCTTCTTGATGCGTCAACTGACGCTGGCGTTCCGCCCGGGTCGTCCCAAAGTCGGAGTATACTGGCTGCCCATAACTGCCAACTTCGGTTACTCCTCGATGGGTAATTCGTGACGCCGCCTCCGTACTGTGGTGGTGGGTTACCATCTACCGGCTGATCTGGCATACCTCTGTTCTTCAGCTCCCCGAGGGTAGTCATGACTTTGTTATGGCATTCCTCGCTCAACTACTGCAGTCCCTGTACATGGTCCTCCACTCGTCGCATCCTATCCTCCATAGCCTCTAGCCGTCCTTCGAGGTGCTGGGTTAGTTTGTCTTCTGTGACGTACTGAGTGAGTGTCTGCAGTACATCCCGGATGGGTCTTCTTCGTGAGGATCCTCCGCTGTGCGGTCGTCCTTCTGCTCTTCCATCGGGGGCCCTCTCCGGCGAACGCTCTCTAGAGCGCTTATGTCCTCCCTCCGAATGACGTCGCCCGTTGGGGCGATCAACCTCCATTGGTCGGCTTCCGTTGATGTGCTCCTGGATAGGCACCGGTGTGTTCCTTTGCAATGCCGGTGTTCTCCCCATGTCCGGTGCTGCTACTGCTGCTGCTGCAAATTCGGCTACTAGGGTTGTCGCTGCTGCTAGTGCAGTTGCGGCAGTCGTCGTTGTTGGCGCTACTGAGGAGTGGCGGTGAATGTTTATCTTGGGGGCGCTTACAGGTCGCTTCCCCCGACTTATCTCCGCTCTTCCTGTAGTGGCCGGACTGGGTGGAACACCTTCCTCGGCTGGAGGTGGTGCGCCTTCCTCCACTTCCCCTGGAGCCTCCGGCGTTTCTTCTGCTGGTGATCCTCCTGCTGCCTCCGCCTCCTGATGAAGCTCTTCGATGCGCACTGCTGAAGGTGCGGTGGCAAGAACCTGGTACCCGGGTGGAGTGGTTCTTGGTGTTGC